TCTCTCTCTCTCTCTCTCTCTCTCTCTCTCTCTCTCTCTCTCTCTCTCTCTCTCTCTTTCTCACTGACGACGAATTCGAGACATCTACTCGCAAAATATCCGAATATCTTAGCAAAACTGTGTCTCGATTCTCGCTTTGTTAACGGCGGGATATGCTTGACGATGCTCGTTCGCTCGCCTCACCGGTTTTTTTTTCTTTTTTTGCGCAGCTCGACGTCAAGCATACATTGACGTGCGTAAAAAAATAATGAAAGAAAGAAGATAATGTATTCGCGCGCACATATCCGAGGACTCGCGACGGGAATACAAGCAGACTCGCGAAGTCATTCGCTATACTTCCGCGGCGAACTCTCTCGACCCGTCTTAGAATTATATTTCAGGCACTCACTGTGCGAAAGACTATTGATACGAGTGGTGGAAAAATGATGTTGCTCAATTAAATACATATCCCCGAGCGAATCCACGATTTATAAGTCTGTTCGCGCTTTTGCGCTTGTGAAGAGAAAAGTAAGAAGACAATTCTCTATGATTCCGCGCGATTTTCAAAAGAATCATACCGGTCTCGGCCGGCATCTTTCTTTCGGAGTCGTGCGCGAGCGTCGTCGAGATGGCTCGTCGTTAGATCGATTACATTACATTAATTAGATTAATAAGATTACCTTAAGAATGTCACAGTACGATTATATATTACGAAGGAATGTCTTCAAAGCGTTCTCTACGTCGAACGTTTATCTCGAATATAACTAGCTCGTTAGAAAAAGAAAAAAGAAGATACGAAAAAAGGAAGACAAGGAGGAGGAGGGAACACGAGGATCGGGAAGAAGGGGGAAGACGAAAGAAAATATATAAATCATTGTTCGCACGTTTACGCAATACGGTAGTGTCGACTTATAGGCTTACTTATAAACTACGGACTTGCGGGAGAGAGAGACTAACTGAAGAGAAGCTCGGACCGACGAAATAAAAAGAAGAACAAAATCGCCGAATTGACGCGAGTGAGCTTCGACAAGCTTCGGTTCTCCGATCATCTACCGTACGTGGAATGCATATAATAATTCTGCTCTCGCCATCGTCAACCGCACTTCGTTCACTATAAAATCCTAGTTTTATTCGTTTACTATATGTTGTTTAAATAAAATATTCGTGCAGTTATGTCATCTCTCTCTTAAGGAAAGAGATGGCGAAGAAGAGATTGAGTGAGAAATTTATTTGTAGAATATAGTTTATTTCACAGAAAGGAACTTTGTTCGCAAATAAACTTAATATCCCACAAATAAATTTTCAAGTATTTTTTTCCTCTGTGTAAAAATTACAAAAAAACAAAAGTCTAAAATAGAGAGAAAAAAATGTATGCATGTGTATACATATCAATTAACAAATTAGTTTAAGTCAAGTTAGATTAAAATTGTGTTAAGATAAGTACGACTTTTCTTAAAAAAAAATAAATTTTCATAATATTATTATAGAACTAGAAGAAGAATTATAGAAGAGAAAAAACTATATATATATATATATATATATATATATATATATATATATATATATAAA